CCCAACAGTGACTGTTCTACCCTGACCCCAGGCCTTTCTGACTTTTGCCTATCAGGAGAGCAGGAAACCCACTCACAAAATCTTGCCTTGGAGTAAAAGGCTCAGCCAAGGCTGGGTCCCACACATAGGCCTGCAAAGCTTCAGGGATGCTTTCCCTACTGAGCTATTTCTTCTTCCACTGGTGACATTGATACAGAGAAGGCAATGAAATGACAAACAGTATGCTTTCCCCACTGGGCCACTTCTTCCACTGGTGACAGTGATAGGAGGGATTGAAATGATAGTGTTTCAAGGATGGGCCTGGGTCTCGGGGTCAGGTCTGTTATCACTGAGTAGCTCCCAGCCAGCCCAGCCCTCTCCTCTCCTCACCTTCTCATGGGCATTGCCATACATACGTTCCAAAATGCTGCCTATACCTAAACAGATCAACGGAAATTTCAAGCGTATTCTGGGAACCTGGAAAACCAAAGGGATATTCTTAGAATCCATGAGCTGTTCCTGGAGCAGGTAGGGAGGGTTTTGTTATTAATAACCTCTGCTGTGTTTCTTGTATCAAACTGCACCTTGACTTATTTTGGAAAACTTGAAAAATACATGCAGGCAGAAAGGAAACAGAAGCTCCCACTATGCCCATTATCCAGCGATAAACACACATTGCCCTCTAAATTTCTAGGTTTTTTGGCAGGGCACAATGGCTCATGCCTATAATGTCAACACTTTGAGAGGCCAAGGCAGGAAGATTACTTAAGCTCAGGAGTTTCGGAGCAGCCTGAGAAACATAGCAAGACCCCGTCAATACAAAAATAAAACAAAAAAAAAATTTAGCCAAGCATGGGGGCACTCGGCTATAGTCCTAGCTACTTGGAAGACTGAGGCAGGAGGACTGTTGAAGCCCAGAAGTTCAAGGCTGCAGTGAGCCTTGATCATGCCACTGCACTCCAGGCGAGATGAGAGAGCAAGATCCTGTCTCTAAAAAAATTAAATTAAAATTAAAATCAATTAAAAACTGAAATGAAAAATTTCTGGTATTCTTTTTTTTTTTTTTTTTTGAGATGGAGTTTCACTCTGTCACCCAGGCTGGAGTGCAGTGGTGCAATCTCAGCTCACTGCAAGCTCCGCCTCCCAGGTTCACACCATTCTCCTGCCTCAGCCTCCCAAGCAGCTGGGACTGCAGGCGCCTGCCACAACTCCCGGCTAAGTTTTCATATTTTTAGTAAAGCTGGGGTTTCACTGTGTTAGCGAGGATGGTCTCAATCTCCTGACCTCGTGATCCGCCTGCCTTGGCCTCCCAAAGTGCTGGGATTACAGGTGTGAGCCACCGCACCCGGCCAATTTCTGGTATTCTTCATATACGCATAGATATATTTATGCTTTTTCAAAATGGGATTGTACAGTGGTGCTATTTTGTAACCTGATCTGTTCACATATCCACTGCAAATATATTTCATGCCATTAAATAGGCTCTCACACCTTCATTTTTAATGACTGCCACTGTGTGCAAGCAGAGACAGGCCCCAGTAAATTTGTTGTGTTGTTTCTTCCCCATGCCTGTGGTTCTGCAACTTAAACCATTGCCCACTCTAAAAAAGTGCCAAAGTTTAGCCAATTAGAAGCTCTTCATTAAAAACGAAAAGGGCATCTGCAGCCCTCCAGACGGTGGGCCAGTGTCCTCATTCCTCTGAAAGGTATACTGTGTTGCAAATAGCAGCCTGGCCATTAGCCAGCTAGGCTGTGCATGTGGAAAAGCCTGGCCATTAGCCAGCTACAGGCTGTGCACGTGGAAAAGGGGCCTGGTCGTATTTCCCTGTGGACTTCTTTAGAGAGGCTGAGCTGCTTAAAAAATTTTTTTCTTTAAAAAGAATAAAATGTTTTGTAATTGTTTGCAAGTGCTCACAGGCTCAGTGGCAAAACGAGATGGAACCCTTGATTTCTAACCTCCTGCTGCACTGTTCAAAACTCCTCCCAGAGAAGCAAGTAGGAAGCAAAGTGAAGCACTCTACTGTAAAATTTGCATCCTCCCTTAGCCAATCCTGGTCCCAAAGGACTCCACATCAAACTGTACTTGTTTGTAAAGATCTTTCACTCAAGACAGACCACTTCTCAAGACACTGCTGATGTAGAAATGAGACCATCCAAAGGGAGAATTTAAAATATTGAGAGCCTCTAGGTAAAAATATAAATGGATTTAAGGGCAGCCGGGAAACCCTCAATGGATGATCTTGTTCAGAGCTCCAGTTAGGTAAATATAGTAGGAAAAGCAGTGGCAAAGAAAAGCTGAAAGGTGTTAATTAATGGAATGTGTTTATTCAACATGCTTTTAGGGAATACTAATAGTGTGGTAGGCACTGGGAATCAGAGATAAACAAAGCCTCCATTTCTACACCCAAGGAGTTCAGGTGCCATTTTTTTTTCTTAGACAGAGTCTTGCTCTATTGTCCCCAGGTTGGAGTTTAGGGGCACAATCTTGGCTCACTGCAACCTCCACCTCCCGGGTTTAAGTGATTCTCCTGCCTCAGCCTCCCAAGTAACTGGGATTACATGCATCTACCACTACGCCCGGCTAATTTTGTGTTTTTAGTAGAGATGGGTTTTCACCATGTTGGCCAGGCTGGTCTCAAACTCCTGACCTCAGGTGATCCACTCACCTCAGCCTCCCAAAGTGCTGGGATTACAGGCATGAGCCACCGTGCCTGGCCCAACAAATATCTGAAATATGGGGTGACCAACGTGGTGCCTGGGCACAGAGTGCAAGGCACGTGACAACACGGAGGTGTAACCCCTCTTCCTCTGCCTGGTGGCACAGGAAGGTTTCTAAAAGGAAGGAAAGATGGGACTGTGTGGGCCATCGCGTGCAGCGGGGCAATCTGGAAGAAGCAAGCAGAGGGCATGGGGGCATGGCACGGCAGCGTATGCTCTCAGCACCATACCTGGTCAGGTAGAATTGAAGCATGGAGAGGCAGCGCCTCAGGAGGTGAACCCGGTGAGGCCGCCAGGAGCTGGATCATGATGTGTCCTGGGTCTTGAGGAGAGCAGTGTGGGCTTCGCCCAGCAGGCAGGGGGAGTGGTGGGGTTGTCGGCAGGCACATACTTGCTTTACACTGGAAAGGTTCCTTCCAGATAGTATGCAGCTTGCTAGATTGCAGCAAGGGGCAAAAAAAGAGACTCATAAGCATTCAGAGAAACGATGTGGCCTCAACAAAGGACTGTGACAGTGCGAGTGGAGGCGGGAAGCAGTTCAGGTGATGAGATGGACCCAGCACGGCTCAGTGACCAGTTGAAATGGGGCAGGGAAATAGAAGGACATGAAAATGGCAAGGAGCAAGTCATCTAGAGCAAGACCCCAAGGAGGCCAAAGAGGACTAACTCTGGGTCAAGATGATCGAGAGGGAGTGCCTTCTTTAGGCATGAGGAAGAGGGAGGCAACAGCAGTTGTCAAAACAGATTCTAATCAGTGTTGAAACAGATGTGTTTGCAGAAGGCAGGCAGGTGAGGGAGTTCCTGGGAGCCGCACCCTGAATGAAGCCAGTGCTGACAGCTAAGAGAGAGGAAGGCGGAAAGAGGGCGGAAGCTTGAGGACCAAGGTCAACACTAGGAGTGGCTAGTGAAGAGCAAGACAGGAGGAGGTGGCCTTAACACTGAAAGGTATCAGCTAACTGAGGCCCAGATGAGACCAAGTCCAGCTCCATGAATGCTGCGTCCTCCAACAGGGCTCGGCAGACCGGCAGAGAAAAGGAGGGGGGTGAAGAATAGACGCTGGCTTGAAGATTCGGCCATTTGAATAGGGGATGGCCATGGTCCCCTCCATTCAAGGGAACTGAGGTTGTAGATGAGGAGGTGACCACAGTGCTGCCCAGGAAAGGAACTCAAGCCAGGAAGGGTAGAGAGAAACAAGAGGTCCAGGGCTTAGGTCTCTATAGAGCAAAGATGGCGAATAGGACCAACAGACGTTGGGGAGCTAGAGGACCGGGGCTGTAGTCTGAAGTCGGCATGTTGGCAGACTTCCAAGGCTGGAGTGGCCTTATCGATGGCAGGTGACTGTGGGAGCAGGTGGCTGAAGTTGGGGGTGGACTTGTGTTTTTCAGTGTCCGTGAAGGACAAGGACCAGCGGAGGGAGGAGGGTCTGTATGAGTGTCTTCCCGCTTCCAGGCTGGAGCACACTCCTCACCAGGCATCTGAGCCTAGGCTGAGCTGTTTAGCGTGCCCCCAGGGGATGGGAGAGGCTCTGAGGAAGCCTTGGTGCCTGGGGTAGAGGACAGTCATGCTCCTGGAGGCAGCAGAAGAAAGACATTCATCTCTGGGGGAGACCACAGGCTCCCATGGGGGTCTAGAAGCTCCTAGAGACCACTGGGGAATTCGGATGCAGCCAATACCCAGTCTGTTCAAGGAGCACAGGTAGGCTCACAACAGGGCACGGTTGTGTTTCCCACCTAACGCTCCCCGGACTGTCAGAGGACAGGGCGGTGCCAAGCCGAGTCAGTGTCCTGAGGGATGGGGAAGTCCCTTCGTGGTGCAAGGCAAGGCTTGCCTCATACCCTCACAAAGCTGAGCGGTTTCCAGAAGGGCTAGTTGGGGGCGGAGAAAGAATCTGACTCCCAAGGGCCTCTCCCTAGAACTGTGACTCCCAAACGCTTAACCTCCGGGTGTGACAAACAGCCCAGGTAACCAGTGCATGGAGCACTGTCATTTGAACCACATCACCTTCCCAGGAAGCTCCAAGCAGTTAAAATTTCCTTATAAATTGTAACTCTGCACGTGGATTCTTATGACATGTCCTTGGCTATTTCCACCACTCGGGAACCGGTGTTGCCATAATCTCTCTCCTTTTTTTTTTTTTTTTTTTTTTTTTCCAGCTTAGTTTGAATTCCCGACGCCTTGGTACGGGAGAGCGGAGCATGTCTTTTCATTCATGGGTCACTTGATATTTTGGAGCAGCAGGCCGGGGGTGGAAGGGTGCGGGCGTCCTGCGGGGCGCCCAAGTGATGGGCCCTGGCCTCCTACAGGTGCGCACAGGCGCTGCTGGAGCACGGGGCCTCGGTGCGGCGCGTGGGCGGCAAGGGCCGGGACACGCCGCTGCACGTGGCGGCGCAGCGCGGCCTGGACGAGCACGCGCGCCTCTACCTGGACCGCGGGGCGTACGTGGACGCGAGGAACGGCTGCGGGGAGACGGCCCTAAGCGCGGCCTGTGGGGCGGCGCGGAGACCCGATGAGCAGGGGCGCTGCCTGCGCCTGTGCGCGCTGCTGCTGCGACACGGGGCGGAGGCAGACGCGCGCGACGAGGACGAGCGCAGCCCACTGCACAAGGCCTGCGGCCACGCGAGCCACAGCCTGGTGCGCCTCCTGCTGCGGCACGGCGCCGACGCGGGCGCGCTCGACTATGGCGGGGCCTCGCCGCTGGCCCGCGTGCTGCAGACCGCAGCCTGCGCGCTCCAGGCTGCACCACAGCGCACGGTGCAGGCGCTGTTCAACCACGGCTCGCCCACTGTGTGGCCCGACGCCTTCCCCAAGGTAAGGCAGGATCCGGCCGGGCTGGCACGTGCCATGGAGTTTTGCCACTTAGTGACCGGCCTGGGAGCTGGGTTGCATGCGGCGCTCTCAAACTGTAATGGCCCAGGCACCCCTGGGGACTTGTGAAAATGCAGAATCTGCTCAGGGGGTCTGGGGTGGGAGAGCCTTCATTGCTAACAAGCTCCCGGGTGTGGCCTAGACTGCTGGTCCTGGGACCCCATTTTGAGGAGCGGGAGCCTAGAAGCCTTCTGATTAGAGCCACTGGAGAATTAAGGGGTTGCATGTCAAGAATGCATCCTTTCAAAGTAGTCACCTGGGGACGGACGCCAGGCACTTATTTCGATGATGCAGTCAGAGTTCAAAATATTTAGGCAGCTCTCTTTAGGTATAATTTTCAGAACGATGAAAATCAGTCTCTTGCCGCATCTGGCATTTGATGTGAAACGAAATTACCCAATCTGATCATCCACCTTGTTAATGAGAGCGCTTCGTACATTTGCAGACTTCTCTCATTCGGTCCTCACCACATTGCAGTGAAACACAAGAGGCAGGTGATATTCTCCCTCTACCTGGGGTTCGGCCAGGTAAAGTGCCCTGCCCAGCTCATTGCAGTGTTGGGACCTCACCCCCATTCTGATGGCTCACCCTTGCAGACTTGACTCTGAACAACTCATCCTTGTTCCACCCGTCAGATCTACCCTGAAATAATGATAGGCCGGGCGCCGTGGCTCACGCCTGTAATCCCAGCACTTTGGGAGGCCAAGGCGGGCGGATTACGAGGTCAGGAGATCAAGACCATCCTGGCTAACACAGTGAAACCCCGTCTCTAATAAAGAATACAAAAAATTAGCCGGGCGTCGTGGCGGGTGCCTATAGTCCTAGCTACTCGGGAGGCTGAGGCAGGAGAATGGCGTGAACCTGGGAGGCGGAGCTTGCAGTGAGCCGAGATTGTGCCACTGCACTCCAGCCTAGGCAACAGAGCAAGACTCTGTCTCAAAAAAAAAAGAAAAGAAAAGAAAGAAAGAAAAAAGAAATAATAATGATAAAGAACAAAGATTTCTCACCTCAGAAAATACCCAAAAGACTGAAAATGTTTCCAAAATATTGGTTGGAGTAAGAGGTTGTCCTCCCCAAAAGACTTCATTGAAGGGGTCATTCCATTAGATGTAAAACCCGGATGTTTTTCATTTAAAAATTATCTCCATCAACCAAGACTCATCACTCATAGGCATAAGACATATTTTGGCTTGATTAGTTTTGAACAAATAGCTGAAAAGCTAACATGCAAAAGGACAGTGTTCTCAGTGGTCTGAACCATCAAGAAGTGAGATTCACACATTTCTCTCAAATGCTAACTTTCCGTTATAGATGCGTTCAGAGTAAAGACTCTATCTAGGAAAAGTTAGAAAATCCCCCAAGACAACTCCCCTAGTGTTTCCTTACTTGACAAACAGGATGGCACTTTCCCGATGCTATCTCACCCCCTCTATGGGTAATTGTCTTGTGGTGTTCCCACTAATGCAGTGATTTCAATATGGTGGACTCCTGAAAGGGAAGAAATGCAAGCATTTTTATGTTCTGTGACAGCTGCCTTTTATATTTATTATTTAAATTTTAATGTTTCCCATCATTAGCAGGCTTAGTCCATCAACTTATAACATGGAAACAAGACTCACCCACTGCCCTTCCCATGCACGTTATATCTGCATTAAACCAACACACATTTCAACCCTTGTCATATGAAACTGCATAAAGAATGAAAAGAGGCCAGGCATGGCGACTCACACCTGTAATCCCAGCACTTTGGGAGGCTGAGGCAAGAGGATCACTTGAGTCCAGGAGTTCAAGACCAGCCTGGGCAACATAGCAAGACCCTATCTCTACAAAAAAAATTTTTTTTTAATTAGCTGGGCCTGTTGGCATGCACCTGTAGTCCCAGCTACTCAAGAGGCTGAGACAGGAGTATTACCTAAATCCAGGATGTGGAGGCTGCAGTGAGCTGTGATAGCAACACTGCACTCCAGCCTGGGTGATAGAGCAAGACTCTGTTTCCAAAAAAAAGGAATGAAAAGAGAAAACAAATTTTACAGGATGGGCCACGAGGGGAAAATATCTGGGGCAATTTTTTTTTCTGACTTATTTCTCCAGGACAGAATGGGGCAATTTATTTTAAAGAAAAAGGAGTCAGTATATTTTAGTAGTGACTACAAGTAATCCTTTGTTAGCCTTGAAGTTATTTCAATGTGAGTGATCTCTGACCAGGCTTTCAAGTCCTAGGGGCAGCCCCACAGGCATCATTTCTTGGAACAGGACCTCTGACCCCTGGACTCTGTTCCCAAGGCTGCAGGAATTACCCTGCCTTGACTAGAGATGCAGGACAAAGCACAGTGCCTCCTCTCTGGGTGTTCAGGGGCCCTGTTCTGGGATGGGATCCCCAATACTATGTCAGCCACACAGGAATGGGGTCAGTCAGTGATGCAACTCATCCTCCATTCAGGTTGGGGGTAGGTTTAGATTTGGGGGACAGTTTGTTCTGGAGAAATCTTAATACCTTGAGGCTTTCACCAAAAAGCACTGCCCACCACTGCCTCCCTGAACATAGCGCCCGCAAGTGCAGACCTTCCACCAGGGTTTGCTGAATGAATGAAGGGATTCCAGCCACTCCGGGCTCATGGCCTGCACTAAATCTTTGTAAATAAGGATTCCACCTCTTTGCACGGGGATTCCCCCAAACCTCCAGCGGGTACCCCTACACCTGGCCAGGAGAGGGTGGCAGATGGGGACGCATTCACCATGCTGAGAATCCCCTAAGCAAAGGCAGCAGTGCCTGTCATGTTCTAGCCTTGTCCCCACAACCGAAGCAAAACACTCTGGAAAGCTAGAGGCAGCCTCTTCCTCCACCCAGTCTCCCTGCAATCGCTCCTCCAGGGACAGCATCTAATCATGTGCGACATCAAAGCAACAGACCCAACAGACGCTGCAGCCGGCCACAAAGATGCTGGGCAGGCACCACACGGGCGCCATGGCGAGGCGAGCGCAGAGCCACCAGCACTGTCACAGGGCACGCCGTCCGTGGGCAGCAGCCGTACTGTGAATAGATGTAAAGAGACACCCATGGAGCACAGAATTACTGAGGCAAAAGGTTTCACAGCGAGCTTATGACATAAATCACAGCTCCCCATGCCCAGACAAAGGCACCATCGCCGCGGCAGGCGGACACAGGGCATCCTTCCGAGCCGGCGCAGTGCTCTGCACTGAGAATCAAAGCAGTGTCACGGCTTCGGAAGCCCGCATGTTGACAGTGCCAGGCCTTTCTGCCCGGCTGACCGCTAGTTAACACTGGGGGCAGGGACAGGGCGTCGAGGGCAGGCACAGGGGGCAGGCTGTGGATTCTGGCAGGTTTGGATTCTGGAAGGTGTCAGGACAGGCCGGGGCTGGGCCTGTTGGGCAGCAGGCAGGAAGGCAGAGGAGCGCACACCGATGTGGACCTGAATTTGTTTGGCACCTGCCACAGGTGACTCTGTGGGCTGGATGCTTGGTCTGGATAAAAGGCTGTGCTTAGGGGTCTCTTTCCTTCAGCCTCTCCTTACCTGGAAGACAAATTTGTGAAACAGTCATGAAGTCCCATGTGATCTTTTTCCAAGGAAGCACTACTTTGCTCTTCTCACCTCTTTGAAGAGCATATTTCTGGTTCGACCCCAGAAAACGATGGAGCATCAAAGAGTGTGGGAAGGTGTAAGTCTAGCCCCGCTCCAAGATGGGACACAGAGCTGATGGTAGCAGCACCCAGCCAGGGCTCACACCCCTGCCCTCCCCTGCCTCCTTCACAGGTGTTCATTTGGGAACCTCCTTGATTCACCGCTCAGTTTACATGGCCAGCTCTATTTGTCCCTGGATGTCACCTGACGCCCATCCATGAACACTTTTCATTCGCAGTCAGCATGCGTAGCCAGCACATTCCAGCCCCTCCTACCTTGTCTCCTATTTTGTGCTATTTCCCAAAGGCCCTTCTGTTTCCTGTGGTGCAGAGGCCAGCAGCAGCCTGGGGAAGCGCACCTGCAGGTGGCTGTAAAGAGTTCAGGCTCCCACCTGGCAGAGGAGATGCCATGATCACAAAGGTGCTTTTCTCAGGGTGAGACTTCTGGATTGCATTCCAGGTCTGATGACCCGCACGGTTTTCCCAGATACGAGAAACTCATAGATGCAGAAACTGCATGATTTGTGGTTGAAAGGGACTGCATTTCCACTTTCCCCTGTGTAAAAATGAAACACTAATAATACTTCAGACTCAAACTTGTCCACCAGTAGGGGACGTGCAGAGACAACACCAGTAATGAACAATTTCCCCCAAGTCATGTAGGCATTGGCTGTGCTTCCCACAGGCATCCCTTTAGTACTTGTGTATTCATTCCACAAACATTTTGGGGGAACTTGGGTGCTTGGTACTGGAGTCACGGGGAGGAGCAGAAGCATACGTATTTCCCACCCTGATGAGGCTGCTTGTCACGTGGATCAGCGAAGTGCACACACCAAGGTGAAGTTGCTGTGGTGAGAAGTGCTGCAAAGCACAGAACACGGGTTTCACCTGGCTGGGGGGCAGGGTCCAAGGCTCCCTGAAGTGTGTGATGAGTGAGCCAAGATCTGAAGGCTGAAGGCTCAGCTGTGTGAGGCAGGGGACAAACATTCTAAACAAACGTCCTGGGCAAGTGTCCTGGAGCAAGACAGGCACGGTTGTCCTGTGCAGTTGGAAAAATGACCCAGTCGCTGGAGAGGAAACAGCTAGGGGGCACCGGTTGAGACTAGGCAGCCAAGTGGAGCCTTAAGGGCCTGGGCCTCTGACTTGGGAATATTAGGAGTTGATTACATAATTTTCAAGGAAGGAGATTACGTCATCAAATCAGTATTTTGGAATTTCTAAGCCCAACGTAGAGAACACACAAGGTAGGGGGTGGTGGCGGTCCAGGTGAAGGATTCACATAGCTCACATGGGGGATGGAGGT